AGGATCCTGTTAAACAAATTTCCTAGACCATTAACTTCTGTTTCTAGGTGCTCCTCTACACCCATTATCCTTAGATTAGGCCTTCTGATGGTGTCTTCCAGGTGTTGGATAGATCTATCATATTTCTTGGACTTGTCTTGGATGGTTGTATGTTCTTTCTCTATAATATCTATGCTGTCTTCAATCCCTGAGATTCGATCTTCTGCATGGTCTAACCTGCTGTCAAGACTCTCTACTTTGTTTTTTATCTCTTTTCCTTCTAGTTGGTCAGCTTTGATGGCTTCAAGTTCTTTGTTGAAGCTCTGTTTTAGGTCTTGTATGAATTTCTTTACTTCCTTAATTTGGTGGTCAGTGTTTGTCCTCAAATCGCTTAGTTGATTGGTTATGGTTTCTTTGGGCTCCCATTCCTTCTGTTGGGTTCCATTCAGCATTCCCTTTGTGGTCTCCCTGACTTCCTTCAACTTTTTGTTAATGGATTCCATGAATGCCTTTAGTGATCTTTGTGTGTTCTCTACCTGGTCTCTCAATTCCTGTATTACTCTTTGATTAGCTTCCTCTCGTTCGTGGGATTCCTGCAGATCTCTTTGAGTGTTCTCAGCCTGCTCACGCCATTCCTCCCTTTCTCTTTGAGTATTCTCAAGTTGTTCACGCAATTCCTGTATCAGTTTTTGAGTAGCTTCCTCACGCTTATGATATTCCTGTATAAACTTCTGGGATGCCTCCTCTCTCTCCCTATCACGCTCATACAGAGTCCTTTGTACGTTGTCAAACTTTTCATTTATCATGTTTGCCACCAGTGTTTGTAGAGCTGTTTGGGAACTCTCCTCTGGATTATTCATTATCTCTTCTAACCCCTGATTATCAAGATTGGGAATTGAGATACCCGAATTTGCCATTTTTCTTGTGTTTTTCCGGCTTACTCTGCCCATTTGAGATGAAGATAGCACCAGTTTTGTGCTAGAACACTATCTTAAGGCAACCATCAACCAAAGTTTGCATTTGTACAGTTAATAGTCTACAGATACAATCTAGTTCAACAGATACATCTATTCGACATCAAACCACTATATGTTAAAGGGCTTCGAACCGCAGAGAAGAATTTGGAAAACCAGAAATTATTAGGGTTAGGGAGAGATGTGGGTAAAAAATAGGAATAGATTGGTGTGGGGAGGCACATGGAGAGTTAACTATGTCCTAATCACAATGCAGGAAATAGGTTGGGTAGGATGCAAGTAGAGAGAGAGAGAAAAAGAAGAAAGGGAAAGGGGAATGAAAAGAGACCAGAAAAAAAAAGAAACGTAAAAATTAATGTTATTTTAGAGATTAAAGGACCATCTATTTATAGAGAAATATGAATATGTTGAGAGAAAGGGAGGGACATAGAGGAGATGTGAAAAACTTTAAAAAAATGCTTAAAATATTATATAGGTATAAAGAGGTAGTACTGCTATTAATGAATTTAAGTCTCAGAGGTTTTGAATTGAGTAATAAGTTTGTGGATTAAGTGTGTACACAATAGGGTCTACTGGTTAACTACGGGTTTATCTGAGGATGTGCAGGACAAGAGTTAAGTCATATAAAGAAGAACAAAGAGGAAAAGATGGAAAGGATAGGAGAGTGAGAAGAAAAGATCAGAAATTCAGTAGAGCTAGACAAAAAACAAAAAGATAATTAAGAATGAAAGAAAAAGAGAAAGAAGACAAGAAAAGAAAGGAAAACACACATTCACGTATTCCTAAAATAAAAATTATAAGAGGAGAAAGAAAAAAAAAAGTTAATGGAAAACAATTATTTTTTCAGAAGAGGCAAAAATTAAAGATTAATAAAAGTTTTAGAAAAGCAAAAAAAAATTTTTTTTATATATATAAGGTAACAAAAGACGAAAAAAAAAACCAAAACAAAAAAAGAAAAAAGAAAAGAAGAAGAAGAAAAAAAAAAAAGTTCTTTGATTTTTTTTTTTTTTTTTTTTTTTTTTGGGAGGGGTGGGAAGAGTCCTGTATCTCCCTTTTGTCTGTAACCAGAGTCTGGTTGGAGTCTCTGGTCAGCTTGAGGTCCTGTGGCTTGATTGGTTTCTTAAGTCAGTTTGTTGGAACAGGCAGAAAAATGCTCTGCTTTACCCAAAATTTTGAGATCCCCCTCCCAGGTTAGTTTACTGGGAGGGTGATCTGCTTTGAGAACCACAGAAGAGGGGGATGCAGTGATGAGGCTAGGTTCTGGGTACTGTTGAGGCCTTTCTACAAACAGTAGCTTTGCCCTGGGGCTATTTTGTGAAAAAAACTCACAGCACCCAGCCTGGAGCCATTCTCAGGGTTTCTGTTTTTCAATTGATTGTGGAGGCTGCTAGAGGGAGGGGCAGCCTCTGGCTCTGGTTACCCGGTGAGGAGAGCCACTCCAATGGCTGGCGCCTGAGCTGGGTGACTTTTCCCTGGGTGGAACTGAGTCTGTGAGGTCACTTCGCCGTTAAGTTCTTGTGACCTGCTAAATGACTCGTTTTATTCCAAGGCCTGAGCTGGAGCTAGCCGCTCCTCCGAGCTTTGTCGGTATCCAAGATGGAGATCACCGGTGCTGGGGGGGAGGGGTGGCCTTCCCTCCTCTGCTCCCTGAGAAGGAGTGAGGACGTCGGGCTTCTACTCACGCCGAGTCTTGGATCCTGGGTCGTCTCTGGTCTGCAAAGTGCAGGATGAAGTTGTCCGCTCCTTGTCGGTTCTTGCTGGTGTTGAGTAGAATCCGCTCGCCCGCTGCGTCTGGCTCCTTCGTCCCGGACTCTCTGTGTGAGCGCTCAGGTATGGCCGCGGCTGCGGTCGCCGCTGCGACCCTGCCGCCGCAGCAGCAGCTGCTGGCAGGCGCTCAGATGTGTCTGCTTGGCTTCCCCTCTCTTGACTAACTCTCTGTCCTGTGATGGCACACTTGGTGTGATTCTCTGGCTTGGGACTGTTCACTGGAACTCTGAAACTGTTTTCTATGCAAGAGCTTGTTCAGATTCCAGCTTCTCCTCCGCCATCTTCCCGGAACTCCCAGCATCATCTTATACGGTCATATGTACATACCTATTGAGCTAGTCTGCTCATTTGAAAAGATTATCCTAAACAAATACTAATTATTGTAAATAAGGGAAACCATGGGATCTATGTTTCTTTGGGTCTGGCTTACTTCACTTAATATAAATTTTTTCCACAAGAGGTTTTTCTTTGTTGTTGTTTTTAATGTACTATGTGGTTTTTTTTGTTTCTTGTGTATGTTCTTCCCCCTATGGTCTATCCCCTGTTGTCACTGCATTTGATTTTGGTACCCTGCCTGGTATTGAATATACGTTTATTTGAAGTAGGGATGAGAATGGGAACAACAGAATGGTGAGACAAAGGACAAGGGGGAACCAATGCAACAGCGATATACACAAGACAATATGTTGGAAATTATGTGTACAACTTTGGGGTGAGGACATGGGGGACAGAAAGTAGGAGAAAAATGAGGGAAGGGTAACAAGTTTCACAAGAAATGTACTTATTACCTGACTTATGTAACTCGAACCACTCTATACATCACCTTGACAATAAAAAATAAAAATAAAGTACTTCTTACACCCAGGTTGCTCCATACCTTTGTTCCTCTCAAGATCCACTGTTAATGCATTACCACTCTAACTGTGCCCTCTCCTGGTATACTCTTGAGTTTCTGTAGATAGGACTGTGAGTCTCTGGAGGATAGAAACAGTGTCACTAGCTGGCTATATAAAAGAGAACAATTTGCTTATTTTACTTTCATCTCTGCTGTAGAAAAAAAAATGATTCCAAATTCCTTATTGTAATTCATACAGGGGGAAAAAAACTTTATAGATGGCTAAGTGTTTTCTGTAATCTGTAATCTCTGTCCCTTAACAATTTCTTATACACTGAAGTTGATCTGTAGAATATACATCAGATTGACTGAAAAGCTAATCCTTAAAGGGCTACTGATGTTCATATAACTTGTTATTTGATTCTTGAATATTAAGGACAGACTTCAAGAGTTAAGATAATAGAATAGGAGGATTGTGAATGATCTGTCCGTGTACTTAATAATAAATTGTAATATTTTTGTAACATATTTCTTCTGCATAGTTGGCATTGTCTGGCAGGATACAGAACAAGTTATTTTTATAAAAACATACACATGTTTCAATAACATTTGCATGGATTTTGAGTGATTCTGAGATTATTGAGAACCATCATGAGTCATTTCCACTTAAAACTCTATTGAATTTTAAATCTCAATCTCTGAGAGACTTCATTTGTGATAATGTGGTAGAAAGAGCATATTGGCACTAAATTTTTTTAAAAGAGTGTATTGAACAATGAGTCAAAGCATTTTGCTCTTAAATTCTAACACCTAAGAGTAATAATGTTCTTAGAAAGAACACACCACTCTAATAGCAGCCTGTTTGTTGCTATTTCCTATTATAAACTCATCAGGTTCACAGGCTGTCCATAATGTTTCATAGATTAGTAAATAATCAGAGAAAAATATTTTTTTCTGACAAAAAGGCTAATAGTTGAGCTAACAGGTCTCACCTACCTTTTAATAGGTCTCTTAGCTCACTTGTCTGCAAACATCACAAAGACTATATTGTTGTACTTTTAGGGGACTACTTTTCTTCTGTATCTTTTGCTCTTCAGTTAGGCCTTGTGTGGTATCATGTGTCCGCATTGCATATTACAGGGGGAAACCATTTGCAAATGTCTTTTAAGCTATTCCTTGCTGGAAGACCTCTAGCAAAGAATAAAATAAAGGCGTCATCCCCTGATTAGCTGCCACATGGCAGTTACTACATATGTAATAACTATACCACCCTCAAATGGGAAATTTTGCACCTCGCTTCCATCGGAAATTCCTTTTTCAGACATTTTGCAAATTGAAGATAATTATGAGTGGATGTAATTCAGATGGGTTTAGTTCAGACTTTGTTTCTTTCCTAAGATGAAATTGAGTCTCTGGTACTAATAGATATCTCATGGCTCTTGTAGGAGACATTCCTTTACATCTCAGTATAAGGGAAGCTTCAGACATAGGCCAGCCAGTTGTGTTCTCACAGCCTGAAAGTGATGAGGTAAGTTGTGAATTTTATGTTTTTTTTTTTATTTCTTGTAGATTATATGCTTTTTGATATATAGAAAGTTTGGAAAAAGTAAGCTTATCTGTGTACAGGGCAGATAGATAGATAGATAGATAGACAGACGGACAGACAGACAGACAGACAGACAAGGATTAGTTAACTTGTCCAGTGTTTACAAACTGTTGTTTGTAAGACTTGCTATTGGTGGCTAACAATATCTAAGTGTATAGAATTATTGTTTCGGTTTTACAAGTTTGGTTGATTGTTAGGAGATAAGAACCTAATGTAGTAAAGTATTAAGTTGGATAGATAGAGGACATCCAATTATTACAGATGAGATTTTCATTGCACTCATAATAAATATGACTGGGGAGGTAGAATGGAGACTAGTAGTGTTTCAGAGGCCAGGAGTGTCGGTAGATTTTTAGAGTTGCTGGAACATAAAATCTTTTAGCATAAAATCTTTTATTGTACTTCTTTTTAAAATTAGAAATGAAATCAATTACATATATTGTTTTTTCTAAGTAGTATTTGCTATTTAAGTTGGAAACTGAGTTGTCATCTAGTACTTCGGTTTTGATGTAGTTTCTGACCCCTTTTCCTGAACATTCCGCATCAATCTTGCAATCATTTTCTTTTCCCCGCTTAACCAATGTGCATACTTTTTCACTGTTATTTTGCTTATCTATGACTACCTTTTCATGCTAGTTTTCTTCCTCTAGTCTTCTGAGAATTGGAAAATAAAAGAGCCAAATTTTGTTAAAGCTGTAGTTTTACATAAGTGAAGTTAGTTTTACATAAGTAAAGTAGCTTTATTATTTAGTTTCCTCATTCAGGGACCCAGAGGTTCTTTCTGAGGGTACTGATAACTGAGTTGCTGGCAGTATGATCTTTGAGTACATAAAATAAGTTACTGTAATGAGAGTTTTTCCTTTGTCTTTTAGGTATTAGAATGTTACATTGCCTTTTAAAGCTTTCTTGAAAAGTTTTCAGATATCAAAAACTATAGCCTTTAATTGATTTTATAATTAATGCCTGGCAATCCCAACTACCATAGGTGTACTTCATATGTGCAATATTTGATAAACTTGAAAATTGAAAGCTTAAAAAGTTTACACATATTTAAATTCCTTCTAAGAACAGATTATTTAAATATACTCCATAGTGATTTCTTATGAATAAAAATACATACTCCTTTATTTCAGTTATTTTAAAAAATATTTTCCACTTGCTCATTATTGCATTAAGATAAAATTCTTCCAAAGTAACAAACATTTCTGTTATATAACAGAAAACATATAACAATCACCCAAAGGTATGTTTTTAAATTCTAAACAGCAGTGAAAGTAGCTTTTGAAAGTATGTTTTTAATACTCTGATTTACATTTGCATAGATATCAAGCCTATTTGTTTACTATAGCTTAGGAACATTTCTGAAAATCATAAGACAACCGGAACACTTATGATTTAGAATAGTTTTGATTTTGTGAAATTTCTTCAAAAAGGGTGAGGATTTCATGTACCACATCATCAGCTTTAAATATGAAGACATCTGATCAATTTTAAGATTTAATTAAAACCATAGAGAGGAGAAAATATGTCTTTGTTATTTTTCCATGGAAGATATTACTTTCTACTTGTAGATCACAGGCATTATTATTCTTAATCAAGTCCTAATAATGATAATTACAGTGAGCTAAATATTATCAGGCCTTTTATTCATATTGTTTTCCATCCTCACAGAAATTTAATGCAATAAGTAAAGAGTTGCCATATTGTAATTGAGGAAACAGAGGCTCAAAGAAGTTAAATATTTTCCCCAAGACTGCAGAACTATTGCATTGTAAAATGTGATTAAAAGACAGGTCTCTTTTTGTCAGATCTTGCCTTCTTTCTATTGTATCATCTTCAGGGTCCTATACAAATAGCAACAATTTCTTCAGGTTCTTTTAAGAGACTGGTACAATGCTTAAGTGCACTTAATATATTATCTTGCTTGATATTTAGAGCCTCCATTTTCTCAGATGAATAGGCAGAGCTTCATTTATGTTAAGGAAGCTTGTTCAAGATAGTACTAAAAGCCAGTTCCACACTTGGCTCTGGTACACAGCCCATGCCTTTATTTCCCAGTGCAGTACCTACTGAGAGGTTAGTCCAGTGTGTTTCTGGTACATGGATAAGAAATGTTGATGTGTATAGCGGCAGAGTAAAGCATGGAGGGTTTGTAGGCTTGAGAATCTAATGTATGTGCCAAGGTGCACTCCTCTGGGGAATTGAACTTCTGTGTTGGATTCTCAAAGGAGATCTCTGCGTAGAAGGAAATGCTCTAAATCTAAATCATCATAGGGTTTCATTACCAAACTTACCATCTCAAGCAACTTCCCTAAACCTCTTGAACTCTTGTTTCCAACTATAAACTGATGCCACAATGAGAATTAAAGTGTAAAACAATGCTGAAAAATGCTATAGAATGCAACTGTACTTACTACTTTCTGGAACTTCTTGTATTGTAACACTGAATATTTCCTCTTCCCTTTATTAAAGGGGTCTAGTCCACTAATACCCTAACTCTCACCTAGTAATTGATTGTCTTTGATGACATTAAAAATTCAGAGTAGCAGAATTTGAGTCACACAAGTAGAGTTCCAGATTCTATTTGTTAACTCCTAAATGTTAGGAAGCTATAATTATGTCCTAGAATCTGAATCCTTCTGGTTAGACTTGTAATGAATCCTACTTCCTAAGAATCCTGTTCCATTTCCCTTGTTGCTTGTTAATGGCAGAGCAGATAACTAGAGTCAGCTAGACTATCTGTGGTTCTTAAGTAGCCTAATGTAAAGATCTAGAATAGGAAGGAAGGGTTAATCTACATAGAGTTGAGTTGATGGAAAAAGAAAAAATAGTTTGAGAAATCTGTCCTATCTTTTATCCCCTGAGAAACAGGCAAAAAGATCATGTGTTTAAGGCCAACCTTTTCTCTATAATGAGACTGTGTCTCAAAAAAGAACTTAAAAATCTTAATTATTATAGTGACTATATGAATATGATAAGAGAAGTAAATAATACTTACACAGCAGGTATTTAAAAATTCTTAAAGGGAAAAGTCATGTTCGTTGTGGACATTGAGTTGGCTTGTGGCCCGCTCTGACTTGGGAGCTGACCTCAGTAACTCAATGTACTGGGAATCCCGAGATAAAGAGGGTATGAAGAATGTAACACTGGACCAGAATTTGTTCATGGTATTCACCCCTTGCCCCCAAAAAAGAAATACAACCAAAAACCACAGCTTGTATTGGTATTACAAACCTCAAAGAGAATGAAGAAAGCTCTCTCAGAAGGTAGACCACAGGATGGTCAATACAATCCTCCTTAAAATGTCACCTTTTATGTCTGGACTCCATTGCTAGTTTGCTAGCACTGGGATTCGAATTTGAAAAAACAATAATGGCTAATACGAAATATTTTTTTCAGAAAGTTATCTTCCAAATAATTACCCTCCAAATAATTTAAAATCTCTCTCCTCTGCCTCACCTGTAATATACACAGAATTGTCTTCTCACTACTGAATTTCCTCATCCTACCCAGCCTTTTTTACTACCAAATACACAGGCATCTATAACAAACAGTTCAAGAGTCATTCCATGTCTGCTGGGAGATCTATAGAACAAACGAATTTGTGCTTTTTTCAGGCCAGAGCTTACCTGAGGGTTGCCGTGGAAGTGGTAAGAAGATTGCCACCACCTCCAGAATGATTCCCAAGTGCCCTGGATAGTGCCCTTGATCATAGGAGGACCTTTGGAAATGAGTAGTGTGATAGGTGGACCCTGTACAAATTATAACCATAATAGTTTCCTTTTATTTCTAAGGAAATAATACCTTATTTTCAGATTTGATTTACTAAGCTATGACTTACTTGTGTAATTTGCTTTGGCCGCATGGGCATTTGAATTCATGATTTTGTGCTTGCTAGGCAAGTATTCTATGCACTAGAACCATACCCAGCCATCACAAATACAGTTTTCAAGTATCCATGTTAACTGTTATACTTTGGATTTAAAAAAAAAAAAAAAAGCTGCTATGGATCAACTACGCCAAACTGCATTTTATTTTATTGATCACCATCTTGAGAAATCACAATTATTTGATGTTACAATACCAGTCTGGGAGAAAACTCTTTTGCAGGACCACAATTGGTCATGTAAAGAATTTACTAAACTTGTGTATGGACATAAAGGTGTCACCTCTCACTGGCATTTTAATACTATGGTCTAGGTTTGAATATTATTATGGTACCATGTTAAACGAGAATGAACCTATGCTTCTTCTCTAGACTGGACTTTACCTCAGCTTTAATGAATCTGAATCTCCAGGGTGGTACTTGGGCATATTTTTTTAACAATGATTTTGATGATGGCTTGGCTAATAATGGCAATAATGATAATAAATATTAATGTTTATCAAGTATATTTTGTGTGCTTGTAATCTTCTATTCATGAGTGAGGTTGTACTGTTCATTTAATTTTTTTTTACAAATAAAGAAATGGAGGTATAGGAAAGTTAAATGTTACCAAGGGTTACCTTTTCTAATACATAATAAAGCTGGGATCCAACCACTTGGGTATTTGGATATTGAATTCCTCCTTTTGTGTACAAATGTGCATTTTTCAATTTCAAAGGAGAGAAATATTTATTTTTGAGATCAAATTACCCCTAACCTTCCTTTTATGACATTTCATGAGTTCATGCTTCAAAGAATACACCTTGAAAAACATGTATGTTATTTAATTGAAGCTCAGAGTGAAGGATGTTGCAAAGTCAAGAAGCAAATAGTTGTAAAGTTATAGGTACTGATAGGAGTTAATCCTCAGTTACGGTAAGTCTTCTGTGACCTTCAGCTCTTTTATTCTGTAGTTATCAGGCAGAAAGTTAGAATTGCCATCATTACGAAAATATTTTCACACAAAAACCTCTACTTGATATTGCAGCCTTATGTGTAATACCCAAAACAAACCAAAATTTCTTCAGCAAGTAAATGGTGGAACATCCTGATCATGAAACCACAATTTAAAGTTTAAAAACAATGAAACAATATGAATTCCAGTGAAGAAGGATGCTGAATGTCAAAACGATCCCATAAGAATACACACACGTGCGCACGTGCACACACACACACACACACAATTTCATTTATAAGAACACATTTCTGGCACTATGTTAAGGAGGCATAGGAATAGAAGTAAATGTGGCTATAAGAACAATTTGAGTGATCATAGTGATGATGAAAATATCCTATAACCATGACTGTTTTGTTACATCTTTGTTTTGATAGTTCCATGTTACTATTGGAGCAAACTGTGTTAATATAGAATAGCTCTGTAAGAGGCAACTTAAAAGATGCTTTTGTCATGTCTTGTGAATTAATTAAACTTCTCGCAACTCTGTATCTGTGCCCTTTATCTGAGTTATTCTGTTTCAGTCAACTTTGCAATCACTATGGACTCCAAGGAAGACCAGATTCACAGATAAGCATGTTATTTAGAAGGAACGTCGCCCTTTAGACAAGCAATGTCTTCTTATCTTAAAAGCAAGAGCCAAAATTCAGGAAACCATCTTGTTTCTGTTCTGTTCCAGTAATAAAGTGATAACTTTTTACACCTGTGACTTAGCTATGCATACCTTTCTCATTCCCTGTCCTCAATTCTCCCTATTTCATCTGAAGCAAGTGTCTACACTTCGAAGAGAGCTGAAGATGAACTGAAGTACTGCCTTCCCATGGCTGCCATGTAATAAATCTCCTTCCCATGTCTTTTATTTGGCTTGTGGGTGTAAGTGGTTGGGCCTAATTGAGCCTCCCGGACATTGGATCTGAGATCTAAAAGCCTGGCCTTCATTCCTTCTTACAATGCACGTAAATCTACTGTTATCCCAAAGTAAAAATAAAATTTTAATTAAAACTGCTATATGTGAACCAACATTTTTGCATCAAATTATTTATATTGATTCACATTGTGAATTAAAGCCTTTGTGCACACAGTAGTCATTGTTCATCACTGAGAAAAAAAGAATGTAAAGAGATAGGTATCTGTTTGTATTTTTGTTGTCTATTTAGGAAAGCTACTTAGCTCAGACTTAACTTGGAAAAAGAATGATTTAAGTAAACTTCACAGCTGCATAAATTTAATAGAGCTAATGGAGAAATGAGAAAAAGTCTTTACTCACAAATATATGACTACGGGAAGATCCAAAGTGTGGATCTTCTTCTGTGGCTCTTCACTTCTAGTGAAGTCCCCTTTACTTTTACTACGGATGCTGTAAGGAAAATTTCTGTGTGATTGGAGAATGTTTGCTTATGTTGCAGCGGAAGCTGTAAACAGGAGAACTAAGCTCATTCTAAAAATTTGCCCATGGCTGGCTTTGTTAAGTTTCAAAGATACACACTTACACAGCTTAGTCTGCTAGTTGCTGAGGGATGATATTTATTGCTCATTTATCATGTTTCCATACAGTGGAGAGAATTAACATCCTACTATCCTAGAAGGGAATTAAGCTCCCTCCCTCACTTCACTCTCCAGCAAGGGAAGAATTGACTCATGAGAAAATTTCTGCCTGAGGTACTCTGCATTTCTTTTTCAGCCAATACCTAGGCTTTCTTAGGTAGACCACAGGAAAATAAGAAGGTGTCCATCTTTGCCTTGGACACCTTTCTGACTTAGCTGAGGGTATTTTGTACTTCATTATGATCATACATCTGCTAATCTTGGTTTTGTCAGTACCGAAGCTATAATTTTTTTTTTGGGGGGGGGGGGGTCTGGTCGTGGGGCCTGAACTCTGGGCCTGGGTGCTGTCCTTCAGCTCTTCAGCTCAAGGCTAGTGCCCTACCACTTGAGCCACAGCGCCACTTCTGGCTTTTTTCTTTTTGCTTATGCGGTGCTGAGGAATCGAACCCAGGGCCTCATGCATGCAAGGCAAGCGCTCTACCACTGAGCCACCTTCCCAGCCCCCTGAAACTATAATTTTTACCCTTACGTGAAGTCTGTGCCTCTCAGGTTCAAACCCAACACTACTTCAAGAAAAAGAAAAGAAAATCTCTTCATAGAATCCTAGAGAGTCAGAATTGAAAAGTATATTAGTGTTTGGACTGTCCTACCACTCCACTTGAAGCATGTCTAATAAAAAGCAAATTCATAATGGAAAAAACTTTGGTTAGCTATTGGAGGATGTTATTCTAAAGTGTATTACATATGCAGTAAAACGAGACATAAATATACACACAGTGGACATTCATGTGACTGCAAACCAGGTTAAGAAGTAGAACACAGCCGCCATCCTTGAAGCTTTGGTGTTCTCTCCCACTTGCGACTTCCTCCCTTACAAAGTTAACCTGTATCTTTATACATAATTTTGCCTCATATCTAAATTTTGTATTTAATGAAAGTATGCAGTAGATATTCTTTTGCTCGATATTGACTGCTTTTGCTCAATATTGTTTATGCCTTGTCCACTTTTTCTATGTATTGGATCTATGGCCCATGTCTCTTACTGTTTGTTACCACGTATTGAGCATTTTCTTTTTTTTTTTTTAATTTAATTTAATTTTATTTGTGAACATACTGTACAGAGGAGTTACAGTTACATGGGCAGGATAATGCGTACATTTCTTACCAAGCATTGCAGCCTCCTCCTTTGTTTACCCCTTCACATCCCTTCCCAGCCTCCCCCCTCCCCCCCTAATCCCAATCCTTCTCCTCCCCCCCCCCCCCCCCCCCGCAACAATGTTGTAAAGCTCGTTTTGGACATGACAACTTGTACTTCTCATTGTTGCAACAGGTCCACCTGTATCCTTAAACAACTGGTTTTTCCCCATCTCCTCCACAAGTTATACTGACATCAAATATAGTGAAAGCAGGGGTTATACTGTGGAGGAGTGACATACAAAGCAACAAAGAGATAATCTTATAAATGTGTTAGAAACACATGCATGAAAGAAAAAAAACATTAAAATACACATCTAAGGGTGTATTGAGCATTTTCTTTAGACTATAATGAATATACACAACTTGCTTCATTTGGATTGATGCCGATATTTGCTCCAAACATTTCTGTACATGATTTTTTTTTTGGTGTCCATGTACTTAGGTGTTTTTTTTTTCATTCCTTCTACGAGAAACACTGGTACTTATTTGCCAACACTTCACTGTATATTTATTTTGCATTTTCCTAATTACAAATGATGTTGAACAACTTTACATACATACATATATGGGCTAATTAGATATCCTCTTTACCTTATCATACTTTTTGCTCATTTTTGTATTGTATTGTCAGTGTGCTTATACATTCTTGATAGGAATCCTTTGTCAGTACTATGTATTATACATACTTTTGCCTGTCCCTCTCTTAATGAGAACTTTTGATAAATGCAAAATTTTAATTGTAATGTTTCAATTTTGTTATTTGATTTTTACATTAGGCATCAAGGTTATGAAGCTATCATCTACTCTGGCTTGGATATGATGTATTCCTTGAAGGTTCATGTTAGAAGACAATGGAATCTTTAAGAGGTGGTCTTAGTGGGGGTGGTTAGGTCTTCAGGAGGATTAATGCTTTTCTTTCTAAAGCGCACTTACTCACAGGATGTTGTAAGAGGGTTGGTTTTACAGTGAGCCTAGTACCTCTGCATCTCTCTCCAGCATATACCATTCACCACTTCTGTTAATACCACCCACTATTCCTGCAGTTCTCCTGCTGTTGCGATACCATCCTAACCAAAGCTGAGCACATCAGTACTTATACTCTTGAATCTCTACAACTGTGAGCTAAATAAATCCCTTTATAACCTACCCACCTTAGATACTTTTTATTACAATTACACAAAATAGTCTAAGACATCCTATATTAACTTCTGGATCTATAATTGTTTTGCCTCTTAGATTTTATTCTACAGTACATATTGAGTTTTTGTTACTGTGCTCTCTGATGCCACCTTCTGTGTAAATGAACCAGTAACTCAACAACTTCATTCTCATCATTATGTTCTTCATGAATGTTTTTGCAGTTTATGATTCTTTGGCTTTCCATATAAATAGCTTGCAAAATCCAAAAGTAACAACAAGCTACTGAAGAGAATATGTTTAGTTTGACAGGGTAGAAAAGACTGGAAAGCGTATCACATCCACACTTAGAAAAAGAAACACTCTGAGCTACAAAACCATAACTTTTCTGAAACCCAATAGAGAAGTGAAGTTGCAGCATATCCACGAGCCTGAAATGCAAGGAAAGGTGATTACCTCCAAAGAGAAAGAGTATGCATGCATTGTCTTGCCTCTGGAAAAACACAAAGGAAAGATTCCAAGCAAATTGCAAACAGGTAAGAAAATGGAGTGAAGTTTGTTTTTTTTTTTTAGTTCCAGGTATATTTTATTTTTTTGTGTGTGAAAATACTGTAGAGAGGGTTACAATTACATGGGCAAATAATGAGTACATTTCTTATCAAGCATTGTAGCCTCCTCCTTTGTTTCCCCTTCCCATCCCTTCCCATCCTGCCCCTACCCCCCCCCCACCCAATCCTTTCCCCGCCTGCACCAAAGTTGCAAAGTTCGTTTTCGACATAACGACTTGTACATCTCATTGTTGCAATGGGTCCACTTGTATCCCTATTTAAACAATTTGTTTTTCCCCTTCCCCTCCACAAATTATACTGACATCAAATACAGTGAAAGCAGGGGTTATACTGTGGGGGAGGGACATACAAAGCAACAAAGAAATAATCTTATAAATGTGTTAGAGACAATCGCATAAAAGAAAAAAAAACATTTGAATACATATCGTAGGGTTCATTTCCATAACATCACCTTATCTGACCTTTTCTGCTTGACTCAGACATATACTAGATACTGCAAATAAGGGAGTGAAGTTTAAAAAAAAAAAAATTGCTAAAAACTGAGTGTAGGGTAACAGGAGAATGTGGGAGATGGGAAATTTGCCCCATCCTTGGAGTTACGGATGCCTAAGAACTGAGTGCAAGGCAGAGAACTGAGGAAAGCTTGCTTTATTGGTATAGACTTAGAAGAGGGGAGAAACTACCCTATGAGAAAATTGCAAATCACAAGCCTACAGGGTGGCTGTGAGGACAACAAACCTTGTTGCATTAGGGCATTGATGAAGACCCACTATGACAAGAAAGAGAGAAAAATAGAAAAATCCTCTTCCTGATGGAGAAATGAGAAGGCATCCTGGTTCCAGGCTATTAAAGATATCTTTAACATTAAAGTATAGATGTGATCTCTGAGATAACTTATTTGCTAATATCAAGGACACTGAGCTTGCCTAAAGCTGAGGCTAGTCCATAACAACAGAACTCAAGATTCCAGAGCAAAGTAGCAAGCACTAAGTATCAAGTCCAAAGCTGGACACTGGTGGTTCATGCCTATAATCCTTGCTGCTCGGGAGACTGAGATCTGAGGATTGAGACTGAAAGTCAACTCAAGCAGAAATGTCCACAAGACTCACCTTCAATTAAGCAGCAAAAAGCTGGAACACCTGTTATGAACATTAAAAACAAACAAACAAAAAAGGCCTAGTAAGAACTCAAAGCCCCGAGTTCAAAGCTTGATACCAGCGCTAAAAAGGAAAGAAAGAAACATCATTCCACTGCTGTA